TCATTCCTATATCTTCATTTCCAGTTTCTTGTAGATAGATTTAGTTGGACATTTTCAAACCTCACTAAGAATACAAACCAGTCATCACAACATGAAAGAGGGACTTGGATCCCACCATGTTAACCTAAATCACCTTATTTATTTTATGTTCCTGGTCCCAGGGGCAGAATTCGGATCACTGTCCCAAATCACTGCAGGTTGCAGCAAACGCCACGCCACAGCTTTAGTTGTGGAAGCTTCAGGTTTTTCTGGCTTCACGCAGCCCCAGTGAGCACAACTGGTCACTGGGCACAGCAGCCAATGCATTATTAAACATGTTGTTTTTCCTGGAGTCCTGTTGGCTCTGAACACCGATGTACCTTAACCTCCTAATCTAGAGCTGGGTTTAGAGACAATCTGAGAATTTCTGCATGAGGAATATAGGCACAGCCTGGAGCTAAGTGGTGAGAAGAACGACGTGTCCTAAATCTTGTGACCTCTAGTGCACTTATAATGGCCAATCTTCGCGAACGAAGATTTTGGGAAAGGTCTTTTACCTTTCCAGCCTGCGCAATGGATTTTTTTAGGTGAGACACAGCATGCGCTGAACTGAGCCCACCCTTAAATCCTAAGGTTCATCTGCCGGGGCCAAGCAAGCTTGGACAATGGCAGTGAGGTCCTCAGGACGTAGGTTTGTTTAGAGTGACCTTCTCATAGATGGATGGCCTCACAGGGCTAACGAACTCCATCTGCCCGGGGGACTGGGATTCGAACCAGGGTCGCAGCAGTGAGAGTCCCGCATGCTAACTATTAGGCCACCAGGGGTCCCCTCTAGTGCACTTCTTGTTAAATACATCAACAAAGTGATTCTACCTATTTAAGCTCGTCTCCCAGACCTACTACTGAAAGTAGAATCATAAATACTTTCTTTTAAAAAATGAAATACAGATGATGTCTTCTCAAGTCAATTCTTGATGGTTAAATTCATGCAGCAGGACCAGGAAGCCAGGATCCCTTTTGTCCACTTCTGCCCTTATACACAAGGTTGCAAAGCTGTGCTCTCTCCTCATGGTTTCAGCAGATATGAACCCAATTCCCCATATCCCAGTGCTTTGAGTAGTAGAAATTATTACTATAACAGAGAACCAAACTCAGATTTTTTTCTACCTTGGGAAATGTTTGACCCATTATAAGAAGGATCAATGCACTCTAGGTCTAATAGAAAAATGACAAGGTTGTTTTCTATGGGACCTAATGGCCTCAGAAGGAGGTCTCTGAGCAATCTCAGTCAAATTCCTGAAAAGGACTTTTTGGATTTTGACTTAGGTAGGGTATAAAATGCTGGCTGCTCTCCAACTTTTTGACCAGGTGTCAAAACTTGCATGTCTTTTACTGAAATGTTTTCCTTTGAAAGTTTAGTTTTCAGTGTTTGGCTTCGCAGACAGCCTGTCAGATCTTGCCAAAGGACCCTTTCCAAGAATCTGAAAAAAAAACCTGGATAAAAAATGATTATTTGAAGGTATTTATGTCCTCAAAGCCCCACAGAAAAGGAATTTTTTAATTCAAGGTGTCTGAGAACACAGATCTACCTCTTTTATGGGGATTTGTGTCTATATTTATTTGCCAAAACCTGAGTTTCAGATCCCTTTTTTCCTGTGGAACCACTGATGATAATATCTCTTACTTTCCCTGAGGTACTGGTTTAACAGGTTTCACTGTTTATCAGCAGTCCTTTTTTCTCTGTTATTGCCTGGGGTTGCTCAGGACTCACCTTTGCCACTGAGGAAACACCCATGAAATGTGAGTGCCTCTCCCAAGCAGGAGCAGCACTTAGAGCAGAGCTGCGTTAATTTTCTGCAGGGGCAGCAGTCTTTGCCCATCACTATCCCCCCTGATAGTCTACCCCAAGATCTCTTGCCCCAACATTCATAGAAGAATGACTTTGCAGAAAGATTTTCTGCCTTTCTTGACTAAACCTAGCCAAGTTATTCAGAGCGCTGCAAAAGAAATCTACTGGCTTCTCCATATAGATCACTCTGTCCTTTTTTCCCCTAGCTGCTGTTTATTAAATCCTGTTGCACAAACAGTAGTTTCAAACAGAACTCCAATCCTTGCAGTTTTTCAGTTGCAATGGAAACAAAGAAAAGTTTGATATCATTATGCTATTTTGAGATCAAAGGTGTTGAAAGTATAATGCATATAGGAAAATGATCATTCCAATGTGCATTTTTTCCAAGGACTTTATGTTAAAAGCTGAAACTAAACATGAACTGTCCTCTGGTAATTTAATAATAAATAGATGTAAATATTCAAAATATTGAAAATAATCTTACCATTCTTTATCACTACAGAAAATGGAGCAATATATTTATGAAACACAGAAAAATGAAATGTCTGACAGCACTAGTTCTACGCTGCAAAAAAATCCGTCTGTATAATATAAAACCAGCCATGCCAGACTTGAAAGCCAAATTGGTTTGCAGAACATGGTGAACATTAACTGTTAACAATTTATTTTCTACCTAGAGCCACTTTTCTTGCACATGGCAAAACCATTAGTGAGCTGCCAAACGATATTTTCCAGTTAATTTCAATGTTGAAGAATCTAGACATGACAAATTTTGGGTTATCAATGAAATACAATGAAAACAACAACTCAAGGCTCTCATGTAATTTTTTCTTTCTGTGAACTCCATAATCTTGTCTAATTTGAATAATTATAAGCTTTACAGGGCTGACAAGGTTCACACAGGTAAATCACTGTGTTATCTGCTGCATTTGTTATCAGTTGAAGCCTTAAAGGCACTGAACTGAAAAGCAACTTTTTTGTCTATTCTTTCTTTCTGAAAATCATTAAGTTGTGCAGTTTTGTGCAAATATAATATTAAGGAAAATTGTTGTGAGGGAAAAGAACAAGAGATATCTACCACCACAAGTTAAAATTTCGTACCCAGAACATTCAGTAAAAGGTCTATTTGGCAATTTCTTCCAACTTGATCTTTATATTAAAAGCTAGGGTAATTCTTGAACATATCTTTATTAATTTGTCTCCCTCTCTCTCACAACATGGCTGTATGGATATAATTGCTTGTCTTACAAAGTCATCAAGCAGTTTTTTCTATCCTTTCAGCTGTATGTATTAGAAAACTCAATTTATTATATCAAAATATAACATCTTTCCATCCTCCAAAGATCCTTGAAGAGAATACAGAACTCAGCAACCAAAGGGCAGACTTCAGGATGAGTTTTTGATGGTGGGAATGACAAAATCAGCCTCAGATTCCCTGGAGCTCAACTGATTTGATGACTATTCTGATCTTTTGCATTACTGTAGTAGCTAAAACACATGATCATGTTTTAGGTTTTTTGTGCTGAACACTTGAAAAAATATAAGGGTGGGAACCTGGGGTATTTGCGCTATACACAAGAAAAGTCCCATTGAACAGAAGAATGTATCTGCAAAGCCCTGGGCAGAAATGCTGATGTTTGCATGCATATTTTCTCAAAACCTATCGAACCAGCGCAAAACTTCATTGAAACAGTGAGAGGACTCCCACTGACTTCAGAAGGCTGCAGCTTCTATATGTCCATATGCATGTTTCATTCAAACAAATCAAATCCATAGAGATCGGCACTTACCTCAGAGGTCCCTGAATGCATGTTGCTTAGCAGACTGGGCCCGGCAGCAATTTTGTTATACTCTGAATCCCCAAAAGGAAACCTCAGTTCCATCTCCAGCTACACACTACATTGAGCGGTGGGTCACGGCATGGGACTGGCTCCTTGGCTCTCTTTAGAGTTAAAATGGTTGTGAGAGGGCTTCCCACACCCAAGGATGTTAGTCAGAAAGGTCAAATTACAAATATTAACAGATCTGCCAAGGTCCTGTAATGTTTGTCCAATTGTCTTTTGCCAATTCTTATGTATTTTATTAGATCCTGCAAAAAAATCAATTGGGTCTAGGAGGCTCAGTTTGGAAACGGAAAAATCTTATCTCTAAATGATTCCTCTGGAACTTTTCAAGTGAAGTTATTCTTTGGAAAGAAAGTTTGACACTGAGCAGGCTGTGGGAAGAAATCCACCATTTCTGCAATTTTTATAACTTCTGGAGGAAGCCAGAAGTACCTACAGAGAGGATCTGTCCCCTCAGTTTGAGAGGGTACATAACAGAAAGCAAGCAAAACAGGCATATTTCAAGCTGGACAGTTCGTCCTCCTCAACCCCTAGCATATGTCAACCAACATCCTTCGAGTTTTGGGAAAAATTTGAAGATGAGGTAGTTGTTTTCACTTTAGACCTTATCCAAAACCTTACAGACATTTTCCACATCACAAAGAATAATTGTTATGGAAGTCTTATATTCACTTCAACAGATGTAGGACAGGACTTTATTTCTAGATCCAGATATTAATTTCTTTGTGTCTATATCATGTGGGTTCTTCTCAGATAGCAATGTTTTGGGCACGGAATGTGATACTTCAGATCAACCAGTCAGGAGGTGGACTTTCTGTATGTATCATTTAAAATTAGTCTATCAAGAACACTAAATGTATTTTCAGCATGCTAGGACTGTTCTTAAATAGAAAACTCAAATGTACTCATCAGGAATGACAGAATAAAAGAGAAGGAATGAAAGTCAATTGTCTCTCTGCCCAACTTCTCCCATGAGAGAGACAGTGCTTTTCCCTTGAATCGGCTTGCTCTCATGCCAACAATTTTTCAGTAGCTTCCTGCACTGCAATAGCCACTATTTTTCTCATTCAAATTCCAAGAGAAATCTTATTTTTACTTTTCTGAGAGGCTTGGCAAGGTGTTCCTTCCGTTGCCTGTTTCACCCTACAAACTATTCCTCCAACCTTGGCAAACTGAGATGCAGATTACCTTGCTTTTGGGCAGCTATTTGTGAACTGGGACACAAGAGAAAGAAAATGGGAGGTCATCTTTTGCCTAACTGTAGGACACTGCATGCTGTCTACAGCAGTACATACTGAACCAATCAATTTAAGTCATACAATCAAGACAGATTTATTGAAGGGCATTTTTTTTTGTGTGTGTGTGAAAGAATGAGGTGTCTGAAAATGCAAAGGACAGTGTTTTGTTTGTTATTTCTATTATTTCTCCTTATCATTTATATTATGATACTTGAATACCAAATATAGTAAGTATCACTGACAGCTTGATTCATTCTTATCCCCTTCTTTAGCACATGCTGGAGGTATAGAATACTGGTTTTGTCAGTCATTTTATTAAGTATGGACGCTCCTATTCATGGTCAACATAGTAAATTCCCGCTCTTCTTGTCAATGTATGAACATTCAAGACCCAAATGTCCCTTCCCAGTGTATGCTTCTATGGTAATAAGATAAAGCAATACAGCATTTGCTAATTAGAATCATAGGAAGGACTACTGGAGGTCATTTGTTCCAACCCTGCAGAAGGGCTTTACCATTAAACTGTATTCCTCAGGTTCTTGTCCTTTCAACTTAACTTATCACTGTAAGATTTTCCATTTTGCTTTCTTTCCCCATCAGATTGAAGAGACATAGACAAAGTCTCTGGAAATTTATTTGCGGATGTGTTAAGAACATGAATAGGATGGTCTCACATTTGCTAGGGGATATAAAGGTGTTTTCATATTCCCTTCCTCTAACAGTTTATTCAATAGCCTTCAGACACTCACTATCCCTTTCACTGCTGTCAACGTGTGGGTACAAGAGTGGGTATAGACATGGGACAAAGGAAATCTGTTTACAATTATTATACTCTTTTCTTCACAAACCTCTTCTGTTCTTGCAGTCTTTCTGATTTGCCATATGGGCAGGTTTAAATGGAAATGTAGTATTTTTAAACCTTCTTTCAGATAGGCTTACCTGCCATTTATTCCATCTTTCTATGGATAGCATTTTCATTTGAGGTTTTTCACCAATTCTTTCTTTCTAAAGTCCTCTGTGTTCCCATTCAATACTGGCAAGGATCTGATTCACTGTTTCTTATGATTTAAGTCATCTATGTTTCCTCTCTATCTTTCTGTTATGCTGGAATCAGTAGGAATATATGAGGGGTGTGTCTTACAGCAATCACCATAGACATACACCTCCAGAGTGACCTTTGCAACCTGATTTTTCTTTTTTTTAAGCTCCTATAGATGCAGAGATCGCCAAAAACCCAACTTAGGTTATGCAAGTGTTAAGACAGACTGGACATAAAACTCATGTATTTTAGCACTTTCAAATTTCAAAACACTTTGCACATTCTAAAATCTCTGCTTTTGGCACATCAAACATCAGGAATGCTGGGAAAGAGTTGTACCACTTGAGTGGTAGCAGATGGTGATGTTAAGTTTGCAGATCATACTGAGCTAGCAGTACGCCTGGTGCCAGAAACACAGCAAAAGCAATACAGATCCAGCAGAGACAGTTCTGTTATCAGCTCGGCAGGTGAGTCATTGTATGACTGAGACAGACCCAAGCAATGATTTCATTTATTCACATCTCAGTTCTTCTAAAACAAACAAACAAAAAACTTAGGAATGAGAATTTTTTGCAGCAACCCACTGAAGCCAGTCGAGTTATTTGCGTGTTAAATTTTTAACTATCAGCATGTATATTCTCTTGATCAAAACTATGTGCTTTCATTTTTGGAAGGGGCAGCTAATTGTGATATGTTGGATGCTTTTAGAGCATGAATTTGTAAGAAGACCATGATCCAAAGAGTTGAGTACAATTTCCATCTTTTCCTCATATTTACCTTTAGCCTTTGATTTCTTCAACTTTTCAACTATAAATGTAGACACAGACCTAGACTTATTTGCCTCCTTTAAGAAGGAAAAAACTGGAAACTAAGGATACATCAGTATATTTTTTCCTATATCACTCAGAACTATTTTAGTTTTAAAGGTCACAGTCCACCAACACTCATATAACCTCTCTACTCACTTAACTGTAAGCTGTTAGCTAGTAATGTAAGTAGAGAGAAAGTGCTGGAAAAAAGTGCAGACGTCTGAACCTAGCCTGCACATGCAGAGCACAAGGCTTTGGTCTTGCAGCCCTGCATTTCAACCCTCATATTTGTATATATCCATATGGAAATCAGCCTCTGCATCAATGTGAGTCAGACACACATTGGCTTAACAGACACTGTTTCAATTCTATTATAGGTATTCCAGCTTCCATGCTATATATGATATGAAGCAGCCTCCCTTCATTGCAGGTATAGGGGGAAAATAAAAACTATGTACAGATAAACTCCCTGACTTGAATGATGCATTATGTTTTCCTGAAATGCTACCATTATTGATGGCATACATACGGAAAAGTATCTCAGAATTACGTCTCTCCAGAGAGTGTCTTGATTTTTGCACTGTGAAAAATAGGAATATTGCAGAAATCCCAATTAAATACAGCGTACAACTGCTGAACAACAATGGGACCAGAAGTTATTAAATCAGGAAAAAAAAAATACCAGAAGAAAAAACAAAAAATCTAAACAATTGATGTTGCAATTTGCCCTTGGTCAAAGCTATTGCTTGACTAGCATCCCAGAAAATATTATCGTGACTTCCATTTGAAACTGCTCCAGACCTTTGAATACTAGATGCATTCACTGCAGAAAGGTATTAGTGTGCAGAACACAGGTGAGAGGTTAAAGGTTATGATAATTTGTCATATAGTTAATATCATTGTGAATTGAAACCGAAAGAGACTTTTGTCCAAATTTCCTTTTATAGTGAAACCTCTGAATTCTATCAAGTACTAAATGGAATTTCTGTGCCTCTTCTTATTGAATGCAAACCATCACATCTATTTCCGGAACTATTTTAATATTGTCAAAAGTGCTAAAGCAATATTGTTGTGGAAAGCAACCAACTAATAGAAGCATAGAGTACTCAGAGTCAAGATTCAGTTCTCAAATCCTTAGGAACATAAGCACCGAAACAGTCAGAGCTCTGCTCCTATGGTGATGATGTAAGCTGTGAAAAAATTTGCATGGTCTTTTGTAGCAAACTTATCAGTGACTACAAACATGAGCAATTTTACTCTTATTCCTGCTATTCTCCTATACTCCTGGTATACTCCATCACTTTAAGCCACAGACTGTTTAAATGAAAACAGTATATCACATAAAAAATAATAGAAAAACCAAATGTCTTCATCTCAATAATGTAAACTGAATCAACAGTGCAAACAAAATTGGAATTGAGAGAACAGTTGGAACACTATAATGTTGGTATTGCAAAGCATTTCTTTAGCAGAACTGCAGACTTCAGTTAAAGTCAGTAAAATAAAAGGAAGATGGTTACCCAAAGCTCTATAAAAATCAAGCAATATGAACTTCATCATTTTGGCAGGTGAGTGGAAAGAGGAGAAGCTCAGGCATAAGCATGCTGAACATATTTGAAGGAATGTTCACATGTAAAAGCAGAAACAGGAAAAATTTTGTGTCTATTTTCCTCAAAAAATAATGTACTGGATGTTTTAAATAGCCTTGTATGTTCTGAAATCCTATAGAAAGAGAACTTGATGTATTTTTTCTTTTATTTTCTAGACATCATACTTAAAATAGTCTCTTCTCCTCCAACCCTGTGTCTTATAAGATATTTATATTCATTGTATTTATTTTTTTTTCGAATGCCTTTGAATTTCATCGATGTGAACTCTTAAAGATAATACTTGGTTGTTGAAATGCTGTTTTGGTAATTTTCTGAAGTTAATCTCATCACGATATTCAATCTGAAAAATCTAACTGTCCTAGACATTATTTCTTTCTTAATTCTGGCCTATATGAGGATAAATGTTCTCTTTAAGATTCGGAATAAAATGCAATATTCCATAAAACATTTGTATTTAAACCTGCACATGGTTCTCAGTTTGACTCTCTGGCAATGGCAGATTTCTCTTCTACAAGGGTCCCAATGGTTATTAGTTTACTTGTTTGTGTTAAAGTTATCACTGTTGGTCATACGTTTGACACCACATTCTGACTTAATTACAATGCCCTCTGTTTTTCTTATTGTCTTGCTTACATTGATGATCACAATTAAGCCTTATTATAATGGTTTACAGAAATGTTTCATTATGAAGACCGGAAAAAGTAACATTAAATACCTCACCCTTCCCTGGCTCATAAGTTGCTTGTGCTCTTTCCTCTGTAAGCGGTGGGCCTACATTTTCTCTTGTCATTTCATAAAACCTACAATCAAGGGAAACACATTTTGCACATATACTTGAAAGCAGTATCATGGCTAGGTTTCGCGAACGAAGATTTGGGAAGGGCTCTACCCACGTTTCTTGCAAGCGCATTGGTGGCTAAAAAGGCCAATACGAGAAAGGCAAGTCCGGTTGCAAAAGACACAGCAGAAAGACTCAGATGGTATATTCCGCAAGGCTCAATTCTTTCTGTGTTGTCTTTTCTCCTTAAGAGTGATCCTGCGTGCTTTCTCAAAAGCATCAGCAGCGCTATAAATGGACTGTCTCCAGGCCTCCCGATTAGAGGCCAGAGTAGACCAGTTATGGTGATCAATATGACCAAGGCTGAGTTGTTGCTTCAGGGAGTCCTTGTATCTTTTCTTCGGAGCTCCTCTCTTGCGGCAGCCAGTGGCAAGTTCACCATAGAGCAGGATCTTAGGGAGGCGGTGGTCCTTCATCCTAGAGACGTGCCCTGCCCAGCGCAGTTGCGTTCTCAGTAACATGGCCTCAATACTCGTAATTGCTGCCTGTTCGAGAACAGATGTATTGGTCACATAATCTGACCAGTGGATGTTAAGGATTGTACGGAGGCAGCGTTGATGGAAGCGTTCTAGGAGACGCAGGTGGTGGCGGTAGATGACCCATGATTCGGAACCATATAAAAGAGTAGACAGCACTATGGCTCTGTAAACACTGATCTTGGTGCTTTTCTTCAAGTGTTTATTACGCCATACTCGTTTATGGAGTTTTCCAAAAGCACTATAAGCCTTCGCTAACCTATTGTCTATCTCCCCATCAATCTTACCATCTGAGGAGATGAGGCTGCCTAGGTAATTAAACTGTTGGA